AGATATTTGTGCAGTAGAGGAACCCATCTCCATGATGTTATGGCAATCAGTAATGGCTCATTATCTTGTTCCCATGCTGAAGGCCACGCTATAGGCAATCTAGGTTTTCCCACTTGTAAACAATGGCATGTCATTCCCAGGCATGTGCCCCAGAGGAGAAGTGAAACACCCATGTGACTCTGTGATTTCTGTCTCAGTATTAGGACTACGAGGTGGCAGGAACCTTGATCGCATACAGAGGACTTATTATGAGGGGGGCTTTCTTGCTGGTGAGGATGAAGATAGTAGTATTTTGTATTGTAGTGTGCTGTACTGTTTCTGTTTGTCTGAAGACTGTCAGTCTTTTTGTGTTTGAATAAAACAAATCTAAAGTTAATTTAATCTACACTGGAATATTGAATTTTTTAGAAGAGAGCAGGTCATTTACAAAGTAAGGTCTTCGATGAGGGGCAGCTTGTTTGTGCTTACCTGTTTGTGGGTGGTTTTTAAAGCGAGGGCTAACCTTCACCCATCCAGTGTTTCAAGAACCAAACAATATTTCAAAAGGTTTTAGGAAGATGTCTCTCTTAAACACTTATTCGTCAAAGCCCGGTTTCCTCGGAACTGCAAAATCCTACAAACACACACACGCATAGATTCTTGTTATTACATGCAAAAAAAAACAGACATTCACAGAGGGATTTAGAGCTTATGCACAAACACTGGAAAAGGGCATATGCAAACAATCACTGTTGCCCAACCACAATTCTTTTTTTAAATTTTTTTCTGCATTTAATGTTGATTTTTCTCTTTCTCTCCAGGCCCTGTCGCACTGCCCAAAGGCAACACGCTGGGCCTTCCCTTCCAGAAAGAGTCACTGCTGGGCATGGTATCCAACCCCACTGAAGTGTTTTGCTCCGTACCTGGCCGCCTTTCCTTGCTGAGCTCCACATCTAAGTACAAGGTTACTGTGGCTGAAGTCCAGAGACGTTTGTCACCCCCGGAGTGCCTAAATGCATCGCTCCTGGGAGGAGTTTTACGCAGGTTAGAGCGTCCATTCAACATGACATTCCTTTTTTTGTCCTTAAGCTGTTTGAAATACTTTCTCGTAACGTTAAAGCTCAGTCGGTCTTGGAAAATATTTTTTTAAAGCCTTGGCTTGTGCTCTTTTCCTTAAATTATCTTTTTGCGATTTTCATAGGTTACTTTGCTTTGTCTGCAAATTTAGCTCAGTTCATCCTTTAAAGATGTGTTAAATTCACCATTTCAGTTTTAATCTGAAAAGAGTGCGATTGTTTTCGTTGATGTTTGCAAGATGTGTATTTGTGCTGTAGCAGTTGACCTTATGACACATATGCTTTATGTGGCAGTCTGTTGAGGGACGGGGGGGGGCTACCGTTTGTGCTTAACACCCCTGATCAGAGCAATTTTTTGTCAAACTGCATGTTTGCCACTTCCCATGTGCCTTTGTTAATGCTGACATGCACCCACGTACACAAACACAGCCCTTTCTAAGTAGGTCATATAGCTAAGGGGGGGTGTTAGAACAGAGACGGGGGCAAGGGATGGGGGGCTCTTCACAGCACATGCCTCCCCTAAAGATCTCTCACCCACCATGCAGAGGGAGAGCTTGCCGGCCTTGTCATGCAGAAAAATGACTCTGCCATGGCAACTTAGGAGTTTGAAAGTCTCTGCACATGCATGTAAGAGCGATGCTGTTTGTTTTGGTAAGCTGAATCATCAGCAGTTTAAATGTGTTATCTAAGTTGAAAGGAGCAGTGTTAATGTATTTAGTTTACTATATGAAAAACAGGGTTAGATTTTGTTAAGAAAGACTTGTCTATGCTTTTCTATACTAATTATTTTCTTTTAATGAAAACATTGATACAAATTTAACTGTAACCCAAAGAACTTTTAATCGACAATACTAGCTAATGCTTCATAAACATGCCCTGTGGTAAATTTCTGTGTAAATATGCAAGGAAATTTCCTCTATAGTTTGTGGCTGCTTTCATGGTTTTGGACTCAGTTTGTCTTTGTGTCATTCTGCAGAGCCAAGTCAAAAAATGGAGGTCGTTCCCTGAGAGAGAAGCTGGATAAAATCGGTCTTAATCTGCCTGCAGGAAGAAGAAAGGCAGCCAATGTCACTCTACTTACCTCACTTGTAGAAGGTATGACATGTCACTCAGTAGCACATTGTGCCTTCCTGGACGTAACTGCTGCCTGCACTGGCTGGAATGCTGTTCAAATATCATGGGAATGTATATGTGTCAGTCTCCTTAGCAGTGTCTTTTTAGCCAAGCACAGCAATAAAGCAATCTAAAACCACCTGTCAATAATAAGCATTGTTCTTGAGAAAGGTATCCTAGTGGCTTACGTGTGGGATGACGTTTAACATGGTTAGCCTCATTTGACTAAATAAAAAAAAAAAAAGACGAAGAGAAGAGCTGACAGACAAGTAAAAAAAAACAATCTTCTCTTAGGAAAACATTCTCCCCCCGTTCTCAGTTGGAAAAGTTAGATCGTCTTTACCAATGTTGTTTCTGTCTATCAGTAATAATTCATCTGTTTTTAAAAAGTTGAGGCTACTCTGACACTTTCTCTGACAATTTAGTTTTTGTATTTTTTACAGATCACTCATAGTGAGCCTTTATGGTTGGAGCTAAAAGCTAGATAAAAACTTGTTACTGGACGCACCTTAATACAGTTATTTGCTCATATAAGCACAGTCAGTTTTGTATTGTCTACTTGCCCGCTGGCTGAAGCAGGATATTTTTTCCCTCTCAACAAACCTATTCATTTTCATAAACGGGCTAACAATTCTATGTAGGGGAATGACTGGAGGCTTGTTTTGCGACTTTTAGAGCTGAATTAAACCTTGTAATGTTTTGTTCAGCTCGCCAGGAGGGCCAGATGACCTTAAAGCTTGTACTTATGAAAAGCTGCCTGAATCCTGTAGTGATGAACAAGTCTATCAATGAGCATACAGCTTGAGGTGCCTTTGCCCCCCCGGTGCTACCATTTATCCTAATAGGCTTGTTAGGACGGCAAATTAAAACAACCTCAATAAGAAGATAAATTCATACCACTGATCTATAATTCTGCCATTGGATGTCTCTCCAATGCTTTTGTAATTAAATGCTGCTATCTGAAAGCATTTGTAAACAGTAAAAAATGAGTGCTTAATTTTCGTGTCATAATGCAAGATATTAATTTAAAATACAAGACATTTTTTGTGTTTTTTATGGTAAACACAAGGGATCAGAAATTTAAATGTGGTGAAAAATTATTTACGCTTAAAATACTGAGCATAAAATATTCAGTCAAAGTGAACACTTGAGCCATTTTTTTCATATTCCGTTGATGGATCATTGCATACCGGGAGTGTAGGGGATGGGGTTTCTTTTGTATGCCTCAAAGATGTCATGACATGCATCTTTCCATAACTAAAAAATACAGATGAACAAGAATATTAAAAACAGCAATTATTTTGGGTGAATTAAATAAAATTATGTATTCATGTTTTTTATTGCATTTATAGCCCAATGTGAAAAAAAATTACTTCTCTACAAGTGACTTTAAGACGTTAAGAGTATTCCTTTCTCACTGAAATTAGGATATGGGAAAAGTTCAGAATATGAGAATAATATTTTTTTTCTATTTCTTTTTGTCAATGATTCAGTCTTTTTACCATTTCAACTAAGCACAAAAAAATAAATGACCCGATTTAAAGTCCTGCTCATCTGTTCTTTGATCTACCCTTTTGAGATAATAATCTTAATTTAATTCTGTGTATTACAAAGTACATATTTCAAACAAAGAAAAGGTGTTTATTAAACATAAATACACAGACATTGTGTAAATGATAAATTAAAACCATTGCAAATCCTATTCTGAAATGTGTCATTTTAGCTTGTCCTAGTTGATTTTTGCCTAAAAAATAACTCAGATAGAGGTGGGAAAACAGGACTTCTGTCACCACGCTGCATACTGATGTAAGTTTGACCTGGTTAAGGGTTAAAAACATTAATAATAAATGTAGTTACTGTGTATGGAAGTACTGTGGCAGTTATTGTTAATTATATTCATTTAATGCTGCTGTTTATAAAGCAGAATGAAGTGTTCCCTATGTGCTGAAGAATAAGCAGATATTTCCGGGAAGGCTTCCAGGAACTAAGAAAGATTGTCTTGTGTGTCTTGTGGTTTTTGCCAACAATATTTATTTTTCCTTTGTGTTTCTTCAGGTGAAGCAGTTCATTTAGCAAGAGACTTTGGTTATGTATGTGAAACTGAGTTTCCTGCAAAGGCAATAGCTGAATATTTGGGCAGACCCCATGTGGAGCGCAATGAGGTCAACTCTCGCAAGAACATGCTCCTCGCTGCAAAGTAAGTATTTTCTAATTTGTGGTTTGCATCATATTTGCACGCATTTATTCATAAGTAACAGAGACAGGTTGCAACGAGTCTTTATTTCTTTCAAGCCTGGTTTTGCTCTATTTTTGAAGTAAAGCTTTTACCTTACTGAAACTGAAATCACAGGGTTATCTATTTGGTTTGCTTACAGGCAAAGTTAAATACTGCATCCATCCTGACTGGTTTCTCTCCCCTCAGGCAAATCTGCAAAGAATTTACTGACCTGCTCACACAGGACCGGTCACCATTGGGAAATTCGAGGCCGGCGCCCATCTTGGAGCCTGGAATTCAGGGCTGTCTGACACATTTCAGTCTCATCACTCATGGATTCGGTTCTCCAGCCATCTGCGCTGCAATGACCTCGCTCCAGAACTACCTTAACGAGGCACTCAAACAAGTGGACAAGATGTATTTGAGTTCTGGCAGTGAAACCCAGGGATCCTCGGAGAGTGGGAGCAAGTCTTCCGACAAAATGGACAAGCACAGGAAATGAGAGCTCAGAAGGAAAAAACATGAATTCAGAATCTCAGAATACACATATTCTTGCTGCCCTCTGTGTTTTGGACTTTTTGAAACTCATCTTTAGTATTACCATTTTGAGAGCTTATTTTGTAAGTGGGTGTCAACGTGTGCTTCAATCACAAATGTTTATTTCTAAAAAAAAGAAAACTGTGGATTTATCACAGTTTGCTACAAGTTAGTATGTGTTGACACCAAATAGGGAATTCTGTGGGCTCATCTTTTTGGGAGCTGCTTCTGACAGTCAAGCGTGCCATTAAATAATAGCAAGGCAGTCCTATGAAAATCCCACTCTACAATGATCTAAAGAAACTGTTTTTGAAGAAGAGGGGGTAAACAAGTACGTTCTGCATTTTTTTCCTCCTCTCTTGTGGACATCATTTCAAGATGGGTTGCAATGACTGTGAATTCTTCTCAGCATCCCCCCCCTTCCCTTCTACTCTGTCTGGAGGCAAATCCACTGATTTCCTGTGTCTCAATCGACCTGCAAAGGCAGTTTCTAAATTTGTGTTTTTGTATGTGTGTGTATGAGGGAAAGAGAGATACTAAAATTCCAGCTTTTGTCTTTTTTTTCCCCCTTTCTTCTCTTTTTGTACAACCAAAAATGACTCCAGTGTTATTCAGCTTTGTTCAATGGGAGACAATTTGAGTCCTCTCAGGCTATACTTTTTTATTTTGTGCTCGCTCACAAACTAGAGCCTAAAGATGCTGCAACACATGCCTTGTCAGTGTTTAGGTAGATTACAAGCATTGTCACAATTTTGTTGTTGCTGAGAGCACCATATCTGTTCTAATCAAGATGTTCCCTATTTTTAGTGTTAAAAGTCTAAGTGAACATCAGCCAAACAACATGCTTAGTCCTTCTACAGTGTATGAGTGTTAAAAGAATGAGTGTAATTGTACATATTTCTTTCTTTGAAAATGTTTTTAACTAGACATTAACTTCATAATGTCTAAGTATAGAATTTTAATCAGTTTGTTGTCCTGGAATGTAAATAAGTTTTAATTTATGTTGTAATTTAATGGGTTTGTGTAAATAGCATCATTCAGGTGTATGGTTTTCATCCGGATGTGTTAGATACTGTCCTACATTTTTTTTTCTCAAGTAGAAGTTAGGAAGTGGGCATGATTAGTTTTTTTTTTTTTTAAGATGTAAAAAAAAAAAGAAAAAAGAAAGAAAGTTCCAGGACCAAATACAAATAAAAAATGAAAGCCTCAAGACAGATGCAGTGTTTAAGTGATGTTGCCTAGATCACAGAAACACATATTTCCCTTTTTATGGCCCAGTTTTCAGCAATATTACATATAAAATGGTTAAGTCATGTGTTGGAAGATTTCCCTGCTGATAAACACACACAGGAAAGAAATTCCCCTACTAGACTAATGTGAACAGTAGTCATCATTATTTGTTCTCAGTTATCTTCACAAATAGGCTGTGTGGCTGTGTGAAGGCACAGACCTCAACTGCACATCATGTGATGGACAAAGATGTGTTTCGGAGAACAGTCAACTGGCTTGTTTATTTTTGAACCAAGAAAATGTTTAATTATGATATAATTTCAACCTGGAGAGACTCACATGGAGAAAAAGTGCAATTAGAGAAGTTTTATTCAATGAAATTATTTGCAAGTAACACATTCAGATTAGTTATGGTTTACTATCTAAGGAAAACCAGCTAATTGCATAGACTCAGTGACTCTACAATCCCTAACCTTGAGCATGCATAAAGCAGTGGTGGAGAGGAAAACTCCCTTTTAATCGAAAGAAACCTCCACCAGAACCAGGCTCAGTGTCAGCAGCCATCTGCCGACGCCCACTGGGGTTCAAGGAGATAAAAGCAGGTATATGAATATGGAAAAAATTAAATAAGATATTTGGCGCTTAGGCCCCGGAAGAAGACTTTGATGATGAGAGTGGTGGTGGTATAAGCCAGAAGATGAGAGGGTCTAATTGGACTATGATAGAGGGAGGAGATTGGGGGAAGTGGGTCAAACTTCGGGTTAAGCACTGAATGGGGAGGCGGGGCCTTCGTCATAATGACGAGAGTCTTGAGAAATGATTGGCTTTGGAGAGGGCGTGGCTTGTTGTCAATTGGCTAAAGCCTGAGCAAAGGAGGTCAGCATGTATTCCAGGTTAGGCTGATTAAGAGTCTTCCAGGTTGAACTTCCGCTTAAGCTCCATTACAAATATTTATTTATTTAAATTGTTTCACTCCAATATCTTTTTTCTAATTACTAAAATTTATTTTAGAGCAATAATGGTATAATTGCTTAGATTATGCTTAACGAATAGACAAAGGTGTACAGGTGCACCCTATTAAAATTTAAGTATCATTTAGATGCTAATTTATTTCAGTGATTAGATTTCTTTCAGAAAATCCTTCAATAAGATGTAAAAACATTTAATGAGAAAGTAATATCTTGGTGAAAAGCATGTTTCCTTTGCAGGATTTACTTTTGATGAATGACTCTAAATGTCCATTTATGCTTGTTCCTTGTCTACCGCTCTGAAACTACCCTTTTTTCCTTTCGCTAAACTTTCCATTTATATTTTTCAAAGTGACTGTGGCTGAACAGCCAGCATGAGTTTCTACTTTTTATATGCTTTGTTATTCCAGACTAAATTTAACTTTCTGAAAAAGTTAAGCCCCAGTTATCTACTCTAAAAGAAAATAATGAAGAAAACAATGCTACAAATATTATGGTACTGTCTTAATTTATTACATCTTTACAATATATGACATTAACTTTATGAGCTTTAACTTAAAAAAAAAAGGAACTTTCCAATGATATTCTACTTATTGAGATGCACCTGTAAACTCACTTTAGCTGCAATATTTCTGCATGTATTATGCGTTTTCATCTAAACGTAAATCACTTCATTTAATTTTTCATTCAAAGTGATTAACTAAACCAGCATAAAGGACTAATTTTTCAACCAAGTGCTGTGGCTGAAATATCATTAACTTAAAGTTTTCCTGAGCTATAGTTTTAAGATACAACTGACATTCTGTGGAACTGATGTTGCTCTTCTTCCCCTTTTTAACACCTTTGTTGTTCCAGTGTAATGCTATGAGTTTCCCCATACTGTCAGGAGTGCCTTTGATGAGAAACTAATGAAAAACTGTAGATAGGACTACACAGAAAAAGATTGCTTAATCACCACTTGCTCAGCCAGTACACAGTGATTCATAATGGCTTATACTTCATGAGCTTTTTGATAAAAATCAGTGACACAGATGCACACTGGGGAACTTACAGACTTTAACAGTTAATATCAAAAGGTGGGGCACCTAATAGAAGTCAACATAAAAAAAGCAAGACATAGCATGTTGTGCTGTTAATGTATTTCTACTACATTAAAACAGCTTCAGTGATCCAACACTGACTGAACAAAAATGTGCATTTTAATTCAGATGTGGCTATTTTTAAGTACTGTAATGTCACAATAATATAACAGCAGAGAGCAAAATCCCTTTGTAGTCTTGGTAATTTAATTTATATTCCACATAAATACTGAAATGGAGGTCAGTAGGAGAAACCAGCATTAGACAGAAAGCAAGTTATATGGTACAGAAGCAGCAGTAGCAGCTGCAGATCCCTTGCAGTAAAACAAGTATCAGCCTCTCCCTTCAGAAACCAGTCTAACCAGACCTGTCAACCTGAACCCAATGGCTCACAGACCTCACGGTTGACTTTAACTGCCTTCAGTTATTCATGTTATGCTGTATGCATGGCCCTGAAAGAGTAGATAATTGCAGGGGGGAGCTGATGATGGTGCAAGCTATAGGTGGGGGAGAGAAAACAGGATTGTTTGAGTGTCTCTGGTAAATGTCTGAAACCAGTTGAGGCAACCATTCTTATTAGTTCTCTTGCAGGCTGTCACTCAGTAACATCAGAGTGTTTTTGTTTTGGCCGACACATAAATTTCATTTACTTTCATCCTCATTGTCTGCAGAGACAATCTTCTATTGGTAAGTTTGAAGGCTTAAAGTAGGTTAAAGCTGACTAAAGCTGCTTAAAGGTGGTCAGAGGAGCAGTCGAGGTGTGCAGTCTAAAGAAAGTTACCGCCCATAGAAGATAAAAAAACAAAACAAAATATCAGCTCCAAGTGCACCTGTTTTTTATCTGTCATCATGTTTCACGTAAATCCTAAAACTTTGAAAACATGGAAACAAACACTTTACTCCAAACTGCGAGCAGGAGTGAGTAATTCCCATATGACACACCTAACGTAACTGGGAACGGAAGACAAGCGTCAACTTGTCGATCTCATTTGTTACTACTTCTTCAGCAAAAAAAAAAAAAGAGAGGAACTCAGAAAATTTTTTAATTAGTTATAGAAGTGACACGGTAATATAATCTTTGCATTTTGTTACAAGGCCTTGGGCTATGTGTCAACTCCAGATTCACTGAACTGTATCTGTAGTTAGAGTTAGCTCTGACTGCATGACCTTTTAATGTAGGTCATCACAAGTCACATAAGAAAGCCCAAAGGACAGAGGACAAATATGCCAAAATGGGAATAAGTTAATGTCATGTTCAGTTTTATTTTATTTTTAATTAAATGGTCTTTTTCATTTGACATGGTTTGGGATGTATTACTCCTCTCCATACACCCCCAAGACCCCCCCCCCCCCCCCCCCCCCCCC